AACATTTAAGTGTGAGAGAATTTAATAAGAGAAAAATATCATGCATAAGTTGAGCTGGAATCTAATTTTTAGTACTAATACTTTTACTTTCTTTGCAGGAAATAATTAAACTAATAAGAAAAAGGAACAATGAGAAGAAAAAGTTCAATTTTCAAATTTGCAAAGAAGAACTATGATGATGAAAAGTTAAAAGTAAAGCGGTCTATGCAACTTGACAAATGATGAAAGTATTTGTGCACATGAAAAAATTCAAGCAAATGGCCCACTTGCCGATTTGGAGGATTACATTTCAGCAAACTTTACAACTACAAGTACATGCAAGTTGCCAACTTGGGAAAATTTATGTGAGAAATCAGTACTTTTCCACCTATAAATAGCGCTACATTGAGCTACATAACATAAAATTGAGAGGAGAGTTTCTTCTTTTCCTTGCTTCTTTCAGTACTTTCTTTTCTTCTTTTAACTATTACAGTATCTTCATTTCTAGTTCCGAATAAATTATAATGTTGAAAATTACTCTAGCACCTATTTTTAATTAAATAGGGGGAATTATTCTGTTGAATATTTCTTTAAATTTTCTTATTTAATGGGCAAGAATATTTTCGTTGTCAGTACAAACTCCATTATGGAGTAACTTTTCTTGTGTTGGGAGAATGACAGATCTTAGTATTTCTATATAATAGTAGATATTATCCCTCAATTTCACATGTTTGAGATAAATTTTTTTCCATTTAAATTTTATCGGCTTTATAGTTAGGTGTTATTTAATTTGTTAACATCTATCTATTTCGTACTACATATTAACTTCTTACTAATTCTGTAATCGAAAGAGGCGGAAGAGTAATATAGTTAATTTTGGTATTGATTGATGTTAACTTTTATTTAGTGACATCTAACTCTTATATGTTAAAATTGATTCTACACTTATTTGTAATCGAAAGAGCCGAATATTATAGTAATCAGTTATAACAAGTAGGGTAACCGAAAGTGACTTACTAAAAAGTACAAGTTTTAGTTTAAGCATATATTTCTGGCTCTTTAATATTACTATTTTGACGATTAACTTGTATAACCGAGGGGATTGTAATTAATTGTTCAACTTAAGTAATATATATATATATATATATATATATATATATATATAATGTAATCGTGAGAGGCATTTATACATTTGTGAGAAATAGAAATTTAAGGATAACTTTATCTATTATATAATAGAAATATTAAGTGAAGTTATTATCCCAACACATTTTTATTATATTTGTGAAAAATAAAATATTTTTTATTGCTCTATTCATGCATTTTTAGTTAGTTAATTCACAACTCAACTCTTCCTGATTTTCTCAAATAGTAATTAAAACAAGAAACATCTGTAGAATAGATAAACCAATCTCTGTGGGTTCGACATCTTTCTATACTATAATTTGACAGGGTACGAGTTTAAATTTTATACACGCCAGACACTCGTCACGACCCAAATTAACCCTTCGTAAGGTGTCATGATGGCACCTAGTCTTTACGACTAGGTAAGCCTAATATTACGAAAAATATAAAGAAAACACAACATTTTTAAAGATCAACAGCATATTGTGAATAGCCAAGAGTAGTACCGCTCGACATATACAAAATAATTTTTCAAGACCCGAAATATCACTAAGTCACAAGCTGCTATAATCTATGTAGCTCTATACAAAAGTCTGAAGATAATAAAGAAAGTCTCTAGGCGAGAGAGTAGAAGGGGACTCCGAAGATCTGCGGACGCAAGCAGTAGTACCTTGAAGTCTCCTAAAATTAGCATCACGCACTAACCCCGAGGCTGATAGCTCGCACCTGGATTTGCACACGAAAACATGTACAGGAAAGGGCATGAGTACACCACAATGGTATTCAGTAAGTGTCAAGCCTAACCTTGGTCGAGTAGTGACGAGGTCAGGTCAAGGCCCTACCGGAGTAAATATAATAAATTAAACCGTAGAAGATATAAGTAAAATTTACGGTAACACAGTTAAAGAAATTCTTGAAAATTTAACAGTTAAGGGAGCCCTCGGCTCAGAACAAGGTAAACACAATGGGAAATCTCCTGGGATACCATCTCGTAGTTCCAAATGAATATGCAGTACAGGCAGATCTCCCGGAATACATCCGTAGTCCCAAAATAAATATACAAGACAGGGGAATCTCCTGAAATACGTCTGTAGTCCCAATTTAAATATGCAACGCAAGATGAAATGGCAGGTATGGCATCGAGTTATACAGTTTATACTGAACACATATAAGGAAAGTAGGGACTTAACTAAGCATGGCGCACAGAATGTCAAATAGGCAGTTAAAACACGTAAGCATGCTCCTCTAATCTAAGCTATAATTAAACGTATTAGTGCAATTTAATAAGGGAAAACAGTTTATGATTTAAAAAGGAAAAAATGGGATTTTTGCAATAACAGCCCATGTACGTACTCGTCACCTCACGTACACGACGCCCACACATCAATTAATATCAAACATCTTAAGGGAAAAGTCCCCAACACAAGGTTAGACAAGCCACTTACCTCGACCGCTCAAATCAACTTGATATCACGTTCTTGCCATGAGTATCCGACTCCAAATGGCCCGAATCTATTCAAATTAATTGCATAATGTAAATATATCTACAAGTAACTAATTTAACTAATTAATTCGAAACTAAAGCGTGAAATTAGGGGAAACGCCCAAAAAGTCTCCCCGGGCCCACGTCTAAGAATCGGGTAAACCATATAAATTATGAACACCCATTCATTCATGATTTCACTCGAACAAAAATCATCTAAATCCGACGTCAAATTCCCATTCAAATTTCAGATTTTCAATTGGGGAACATTTTTCCCTATTTCCAAACTTCTACCCTCAATTTCCTTAATTAGACGAGGAAAATAATAATAGATTAATGTATTATGATTAAAATAGAGTTAGAATTAGTTACCCAATAGTTCTCCTTCAAAATTCCTCGAGAAATCATCTCCCACCGAGCTTTAAATCGAATTTTGTGTTACGAAAATTCAAACCCTAGAAATCCCCTTTTCTGCCCAGCGATTTCCGCATCTACCTAGGACCGCACCTGCGGTCACGCACCTGCGGATAACCCATCGCAGGTGTGAAGTCCACTTACTTGGGATGGGTCCGCACCTGAGCGCTTGAGTTCGCACCTGCGGATGCGCTTCTGCGCTCAATCGTCTGCTTCTGCGGAACCTTGGGTCCTTCTCACCTCCGCATCTGCGACTGCCCTTCCGCATATGCGGCTCCGCTCTTGTGGCTCATTCGTCGCATCTGCGACCACTGACTCCCCGGCCTAAAAGCGCACCTACGATCCCAGCCTCGCTTCTGCAAGGACGCACCTGCGAACTCCCCACCGCAGGTGCGAAAACACCAGAACGAGCAACTCAAAAATTCCTCTAAGTCCAAGTTTCCACCTGTTAAGCACCTGAAACACACCCGAGGCCCCCGGGACCTCAACCAAACCTACCAACTAATCCTATAACACCATACGAACTTAGTCGAGCCTTCAAACCACATAGAACAATACCAAAATCATGAATTAAGCACGGATTCAAGCCTAAGAATTTAGAATTTTTCCAATTTCTACAAACGACGCCGAAACACATCAAATCTAGTCCGAATGACCTCAAATTTTACACACATGTCACAAATGACACTACGAACCTACAGTCACTTCCGAAAATCCATTCCGAGCTCGATATCAAAAATTCCACTATCGGCCTAAATCGCCGAAAATCTAACTTTCGCCAATTCAAGTCTAAATCTACTACAGACCTCCGAAATACATTCCGGACATACTCTTAAGCTCAAAATCACTCAACGGAGCTAACGGAGTTGACGGAATTCCATTCCGGATCCGTCTTCATACAGTTCCGACTACGGTCCAATCTCTAAGGCTTAAACTAACAACTAGGGACTAAATGTCCCAAAACTCCCCGAATTCCATAACCAAGCACTCCGGCAAATCCCAAAAGCAGAAACAAATATGGGAAAAGCAGATAATAGGGGATCGGGACTCTAATTCTCAAAACGACCGGGCGGGTCGTTACAACACTCGTCAATTATATAATACTATATATTATAGTACGTATGTCGCATGCTCCTGAAACATAAAAACCAAAAACCAAAAGTGGGGAGACTAACCAAACAAAAAATGACTACATGATTAAAAGAAGTGGGTTTTCCCATTTTTAGATCATAGCAAACTTTTTCGTTAGTGAGATTATTTTCTGTCTTGTTTGAGGGCATGCATAGGCATATCTATCAAATTAGTAACATCTTTAAAGAATAACTTTAGAGAGATGGTTTTCGAATAACTTGTTAACTAAGCATGAAATATATATATATCAACAAGATATAGTTATACGCACCTTTTCCTTGTCTTTTTTCTTCATGCAAGATAAGAATATTCATGCAATAAACACGCTGTGTGTCTTTATGAGTTAACAATGAAAAATATATGCTTCAATAGGATAACAAAAGTTATTACAGAAAAAAGTAAAAGAACGACACATATTCATTGGATAATTGGAGTTGGCCATCAAAGGCGGTGTTAAGATTTAAAGTTTATGGTTTCGGAAAATCTAATCTGTTTAAGTTACTGGGTTCTAAACTAATAAATTGTATATATTCGATAAATTTCTTAAGACAAATACACCGTACAAAAGCTATTGGATTCGGCCGAATCCATAGGTCGTGCTCTAGCTGAGCCTCTGTTGGCAACTCTGAGATCTCTTGAGTTACAGTCAAGGAACCAAAAGCTTAAAGAAAAAAAAGATATCGCTGTCACCTTTAACCTTTATCTTCTTTTCCCTATATAATGGAACAAGAACTTTGAAATTAGAAAAAGTACAGTAGCTTCTCCATATGAACATTCTCTAGTTTTTCTTTCGTATATAATTAGTTACATTGATCAGAATTTTGATCAATTATAGCAACTTCTTCATTCCACAATCTCCACCGTCAAAATGCCCGTTATGACCGCACCACCGCCACAAAACGGCGCCAAGCCACGGCGGCTAAGCCCCGTGAAATGCATAGCCCTTATACTCTTAACCCTAATCGTTATCGTTGGCATAACAATACTTGTCATTTGGTTAGCAGTGAAGCCACGAAAACCAATTTACTCAATTGAAAATGCTTCATTGCATGGCTACAACATGACCAAAAATGACCATTTGTATGGAAATTTCAACTTCACGTTAAAAGCTTTCAATACCAATAGTAGGGTGTCTATATATTACGACAGTTTTGAAGTGAAACTGTTTTACAACTCTCAACAAATTGCTTTTAACAATGTGGAACCATTCTTTCAGCCTCGTCGTAACGTGACTTATTTGGATCTTTTCCTTCCGGCGAAAGACGTGGCGTTGTACGGTGATGTTGCTCGTGATCTGAAGACGGAGAGGACGGCCGGAGCTGTGGAAATGGAGATCAAAGTTAGGGCTAAGATAAGGTTTAAGGTTGGAATTTGGAAATCCAGTCATCGGAAGCTGAAGCTTTTGTGTAAACCTATGGTGCCTGTTTCTTCAACGAAGAGTTCTCAGACCACCACGTGTCACTTGGACTTATAAGTTTTCTTTTTTTTTTTCTTTTTTTTTTGTGTATGGTGCATGTCATTTGTTTGTTATTTTTTCTATTCATGAACTTTTGTGATGAGTTTTTGTAATCCCTTTTATCGTTTTCATTGAAAATTTTCATTTGAATGTGTGATATATGTACAACAACAACCCACTATATTTTTATTAGTGGGGTGTAGGGAGAGTAGTGTGTACGCAGACCTTACTCCTATCCTGGGTAGAGACTGTTTCCGATAGACCCTCGGCTCTCTCCCTCCATATATGTGATATATGTAATGGTTTGGAATTTCATTTATATAAGCTATTTTTGAGCTAGACCCCTTGATTAATTCTTTATATATTATTATATACTATACCTTATAGTAGTAGGTATGTCGCATGCTCCTGAAAAATAAAAACCAAAAAGTAGGGAGACTAACCAAAAAACAAAAAGACTACATGATTAAAAGAAGTGGTTTTTCGCATTTTTAGATCATAGCAAACTTTTTCGTTAGTGAAATTCTTTTCTGTCTAGTTAATTTGAGGGCATGCATAGGTATATCTATCAAACATCTTTAAAGCATGACTTAATTTTTTTCTTCTCTGTACAGTGAGATTATTTTTGTAATCTATATTGCTACTTTGTGTAGAAAATTTTCATTTTTTATATCACATTTGTCAAGATCGTGAATTCGGGGTAAAATACATAAGTACCTCTCAAAGTAGATGGTCATGAGATTTTGATTCCCCTTGTCTCACGGCTGAACTTCAAGTTTAACAAGTGTTGCCCCTTGCTTGTCCCATGGATAACACTTTTAACTTTTGACCTTAAAATTTTGCCCATAGGGCAAGCGAGGGTCAAAAGTTAAAGAGCAGCCAAAAAAGTATCGTATTTCTGCAAATTTCTGGAGAATTTCGGGATAGAAAAATTAACATAAATAGCTGCCTGCCCAAGCGCTTAAAGCTAAAATAGCTGGTAGATGTATAATATATATATAATTCATATATAATATGTATATATTGATGTATAATCATCTTTGTATACTGGCTAGAAAAAACAAGCAATGAGTTCGACCGGCTATTTGTGTAAAGATCCCTTTGGGATACAGGTCCATTAGCAGTAGAAATAGCTCGAGGTAGCTACTTTTTAATTTGGTATTTAGTTTTTATCCAACATTTTTAATGCTGAGCAAAAATAGCCACTACTCTATTAAAATTAATACGAAAAGACAGTTTTACCTACAGGTGGTAAAATGGTTAAAAGAATAAAGTTATCACTACAAGAATTCGGACCTATTGTGGCGACCTAAATCGCTACAAAAAGCTAGAAAGTCGCTGCTAAATGTTTTTACCAGCGATCTTATGGTTCCTGCCAGTGCAAGTGTTACTGAATGTCATTTGTGACGACTCCTTCCAGTCGCCACAAAATCTATATTTAGTAGCGACAAAAGTCGCCACAAATGAGGAACAAACTCACCACAGAAGAATGATCCACAAAAAAGAATTTAAGAAGGTCGCCACTAAATAGTGACTTTTAGTGGCGACTATTCTCGCCACAAAAGCAATTGTACCTTCAGTGACAACTCTAATCGCCACACTAGCTTGAGGATTGTGGCGACTGTAGTTGCCATGAATGCAAACTGTTTTTGTGACAAAATTAAGTCGCCACTAAATCGTATTCTTTCAATAAATACAATGGCCAAATTTCTAATAGGTTTCTAGGGGTGACCTAGTATTAATATACAAGTATATTTGTATCAATTGCGTACCAATATTAAAAGCATCCACCCAACAAACACAACAATATTTCCCGAGCCGAATACTTACTTTTATTACTAATAAGTCAATCAAATATACACTACGAACTACATCATTGTCATTGTCAATGTACATACATACATATGGCCAAAAAAAATTAAGTGCCTTCAAACTCCTCGATCGGTGCCATATTTATGATTTGTTTAAGAGTCGTGTCCTTGTAATTAAGGAAAAAACCACAAAATCAGTTTGACAATGTCATAATTTAATGATGATAGTAAACTGTAAAAGGGGTGACAACAATAAAGATTGCCAAATACAATTAAGAAAGCAAAGAGACAACATGACTAAGCAAAGTTATACAAAATAGTTTGATCCATGCCCACAAAATTCAGAAATTCAAAATTGTCAAATGATGCCCATGATCTAAACTGTACTTATGCAGATTCTTTTTGTGGTGATAGCTGAGATCAGAGGGTACGTCCACCCTTCATAAGCAACAAAAAGTCTAGACAAAAAGGAATTCTCAAAAGTCATATACAACGAGAATTTGTAAAGAAATACAAGTCTCAAAGTAGTAAATTTATTTGAAAATATCATTAGTCCTAGTTTAATTAAACATATATTTGATACTTCATTTATCTCAGCTTAACAACAGAAAGAAAGATTAATCAACAACCACTAATGTATCTGCCACATGACCATACGTATAGTTGGTAGTTCCAAAGCCTACTTCTCGAGCATTATATCACTACTAGAAATTCGCTAAAAACCGACCCAAAAAATCGATCAAAGTTGGTCGATTATGGCCAATTACCGACCAAAACGCGACCATTAGGGTGTGGACAGTATTTTGATGGTCGGAATGGCTTACCGACCAATGTTGGTCGGTAGCTTAAAACGACAATCTGACAAGTTTAAGTACTTACCGACCAACTTTGGTCGGAAACATATTTTATTAATTTAATTTTACCGACCAAAGTTGGTCGGTTTAACTAAATTATGTTTTTTTATTAATTATTAAAATTTAAAAAACCGACCAACTTTGGTCGTTAATTGAAAATATATATTTTTTTAAAATAATTAAAATTAAATATTACCGACCAACTATGGTCGGTAATCTCAACAGTGCAGGCAAAATACCGACCAAAGTTGGTCGGTAATGTTGAATTCTGGGAATTCAATGTTCATTAACCGACCAACTTTGGTCGGTATTTTGGAATAATTTATTTTTTTTAATTAAAAACCGACCAACTTTGGTCGATTTTTTTGGGTTTAATTTTGGCATAAAATGCCTGTTTTGGCAGCTACATCGCCTGCCAGCATACCAATACACCTAATAACAACAACA